TATATATATATATATATATATATACATGTGGTGTGTGTGTGTGTGTGTGTGTGTATAAAAGTCCTCCCATCTGAGAATTATGGAGCACTTTATCAGCACCAAGGATGCCATTAGCCCTAATTTTAAGAAAAAACAAACTGAGGCCTAGAAAGGCAAAGATACTTGGCTCAGATCCACCGTTGAGCCAGTTCTTACTGCTGCCACTGAACATGGTCACTTTGACATTGACGACCATGTTATCAGATACCAAAGGGGTCCACTGCTGAGGGAAGGAAAACAGGAAAAGTAGAATATAGGACCCTAGAACAAGTTGGGCTGCAGCAATGATGGGACGTCTCTGGGCTCAGCCCTGGGCCTGGAAGGAAGGTGGAGGTCAACTACAAGAAAATAGTATCTAACCCCAGATAGGATACAACATTGGATAGAGGAAAGAAATACAGAAATATGTCCCAGCTGTCATAAAACAAGGGAAACACAGAAACCCAACATGATTGGTGATTGTCATGCTTTTCATTTTCTTTTTCAAGATTTTGGGTTTTTCTTTTATTAGTACTGGCTAGAAAGACATTACATCCAAAAACAGCAATGAATCCTCTATATTTTTCAATATGCAATTATGAATTCTTGCCCTAGTGTTATGTTACTCCTTTTAAACTTTATTGCTTAGGGCCTCACTAAGTTACTGAGGCTCGCTTTGAACTTGCAATCCTCCTATCCCAGCTTCCTGAGCCACTGGGATTACAGGCGACCACTGGGTTGACTCAGGTTCTTCAAGAACACAATTAGATGGTGCCCAGCTAATTGTTGTATTTTTTTTTGGGGGGGGGTTGGGGATTTGAACTCAGGAGCACTCAATCACTGACCACATTCCCAGCCCTATTTTGTATTTTATTTAAAGACAGGGTCTCACTGAGTTGCCTAGCACTTTACTTTTGCTGAAGCTGGCTTTGAACTTGAGATCCTCTTGCCTCAGCCTCCAAGCCTCTGGGATTACAGGCTACAGGCATGCACCACCACACCCAGCTAGTTGTTATATTCTTGGAGAGCCTGGACCATGAAGAGTTTGCCTAAATTTTGGGCGGTGAACTCCATCCTAAGAACTTGAGAGTGAGTCCTAATGTCCCCCAAGTGTACAATGATCTGGAATACTGCGTGAGCAGCAGATCAATCCTGGTAGGGGTCTGGGGTATCTTGAGGATTTGGGGCAGGTCTTCCTCAGAGAGTGGGTTCTCCTGTACTCTGATGTTACATATTCTCCTGTTGGCAATGCTGCTGATACTAATGTTTCTGATGCTGCTACTCACTGGCATTCCTCATGTGTGTGTTGTATTTAGCTAGTCTGGCCTCATCTCAGCCACTCTGTCCATCAGCAACTGTTGGTTCTTCCCCAAATGACTGCTACTAGCAAGGCTGAGCAATTCACACGCATCTTCAACAGCTGACTTTTTCTCAAGCTCCCACATTATTGCCTGTGTGTGTGTGTGTGTGTGTGTGTGTGTGTGTGTATGTATATGTATATGAATTTTTAATTACAGAAGTACTTCTTCAAACATGTGCTCAAAGGTGATATTTGCCTTTTCCAATGCTTCAGGAGGAAAATCCTTCTCTTTACAAACTTCCATCAGTTTAGGAGTCAGTCTGTATGCCTTTAGAGAGAGAGAGAGACCCTTTGGAGAGATTTTATAGGATTGTAAATGAGAACAACAGATTCTTCAACAGCATGTTGGTAACTCAACTGAGAATCCAGAAACTCTGGGGTGAGGAATGAACAACAGTACATGAACTAGTGCCAGCCCACATGAAGATGATCAATGTCTACATGACAAAGGATCCACATCGTTTCCATCTGGTATTGACTATAATCCCAGAAGCTGAGTAGAAGGATCACAAAATCAAAGCCAGCCTCAGCAACTCAAATAAAAAGTAAAAATGGCTGGGGATGTAGCTCAGTTGTAGAATGTCCCTGGATTTAATCCCTAGTACTTCATCGAAATCAGCAGCATCCTCAGTGCGCTGGGAGAAAGGAAAGCAGTTGGTAGTTTCAGTTTGATCTTCTATAACCAAGCTCAAAAGCACTCCTTGATTATCTTTTTTTTTTCTCCTTCCACATTTTTATTGGTGCATTATAAATGTACATAATGATGGGATTTTGTTACATATTCATACATGCACACAATATTGTTAGGTTAACTTTAATACCACCGAGCCATCTATCTGTACTTGCTTCTCGGCTGAATCCCCAGGGATGCCTTTGCCTTTGCCTTTCCACATCACACCAGTCATGGAGCTGCAAGAGGGAGCAGTAGAGACAGTGCTTTTCTTGTGGGACGCCATCTTTCCAACCAGACAGGAAGAAAGACTGCTTTGGATCTTTTTTCTTTTTTTTTGGTGGGGGTTGAATGTACCAGGGATTGAACTCAGGGGCACTTAATCACTAAGCCACATCCTTAGCACTATATTGTATTTTATTTAGAAACAGGGTCTCACTAAGTTGCTTAGCGCCTTACTGTTACTGAGGCTGGCTTTGAACTCATGATCCTCCTGCCTCGGCCTCCTGAGCCATGGGATTCCAGGCATGTGCACTGCACTCAGCTTGCTTTGGATCTTAAATGTTCCCCAAAGACCTAAATGCTAAAGGCTTTGTAGCCAATCTGTAGCATTTTGGGAGGTGGTGGAACTTTTAGGAGGTGGAGCCTAGTGAAAGGAAGATAGATCACTGGAGGCTTGCCCTGGAAGAGGATCCTGGGACCCTGGCCCTGTCCTTCTCTTTCTTTTTCTGTTTCCTGGTGGCCATGAAGTGAACAGGCCTCCTCCCCCATATGTTCCCCTCATGATGTACTATGTCTCCTCAGGCCCAAGCAACAGGGCCAAGTGACCATGGTCTGAATCCTCTGAAACCATGAGCCAAAACAAACCTTTTCTCCTTATAAGTTGATAATCTCAGGAAAGCTAACAGTGATGGAATTGTGTGACTGTCATATGCAAAGAGCAGAACAGGTGGTGGCTCCCTCCAGCCCCTCCTGCCCCCTCACTGACCCCTCAGCCCCTTCTCTGCAACCTCCATATTCCGCCTCCAGTCCATCCACTAAACAACTAGTGGTTAACACAGCACAGACTTCCTGCCCCAGGGACAACACTGTATTTTCAGTATCCCTCCCTGGTAACAATGATTGACCAAGAAGGAATGAATTGGATGAAGTAACAAAGAGATCTGGTAAAGCCATGCTTCTCAAAATGTGGTTACCCAAATCACAATTTAACAAGCCCCATGTTCCTCGCACTTGCCGAAGGCTGCTGAGCAGCACAGGGTCACCCATTTCTGCCACAGTTAGTGTGCTGGAGGAAATTACACTCTGACTATGGAGACTGCAGACTCAGGTAGGCTGAGTGACAGATGGCCACCTTGGCCTTGAGCATATATCTGGACAGTTCTAGAACTTCTACATGGGAGGGACTTGGAGATGGAAAATACATGAATGGTAGATGGAATTGGTGGGGTGGCTTGGGGACTTGTAGCTAGTTTTGCTTAGTAGGCATCTTCTTCTGGCTTAGAAACTATTTATTTGGGGGATTTGGGGATGTTAGTAGTAGTAGAAATTACTTGGCGAGGGCAACACCTCTTCTACACACTATTATGCTGACATTTGAGTTCATCATTTCCCATGGAAGGGAGATAAGTAAACGTCTTTACATTTTCTCCCTACATCAAGGAGTGTGGAAATAAGAGGGTTTGCTGCCATACCTCAAGGACTCACTTGTGTGCCCTTAGAAGAAAAGTGTCACTGCTAATGATGACAACAATGATACACTAAAGATTGTGCAGTTCCACAAACAATTCTGCAAAAATTTTGAGTTGACGTTCTTAACCCCTCTGTGAACTCCGCAAAGTAGATGGCATTTCCTTTGCTGATATTTGAAAATAGCAAGAAACCCCAGAAATACAAGATACAACTTATCACTAGCAAAGTCCTTGTTAGTCATTCATAGCACCCCCAATACTATGAAAATCCTGCCAAAGGATATTTGCTGGGTGATGGGCAGCAGCTGGGCTCTGGCCTCTTGGCAAGGGTGGGCTCCAGCAGATGGGAAACACAGACAAAGGGCCCAGGAAAATGGTCTGCTTGAAGCTTTCCATCTAGAGTTTCCCTCTCACCTTCTGTGCCCTGCATCTCCAATGTTTTGCAACACCAGGGAGAAACCCATCCTATCTCCTCTTCAGCCCTTGGGATCCCTCCAGAAGCCCCCTCTCTGCTTATTGGTGTTTAAGAGGCCAATATCACACCTCCCACCCAGTCAAAAAGAAAGACTAAACCCTATAATTACTCTAAATGAAAAAGAAATTTCCTTGCAAACCCAACTGGGGTAGGAGATGTTTTGTTTTGTTGATTTGTTTTTCTAGTGGTGTTGGGGGGTGGTCAAACCCAGGGCTTCACACATGCTAGGCAAGCCTTTTACCACCAGTCCCAAACTATTTTTTTATGACACTGTGGAATTCCTGTTCTCTCTGATCTCTTTTGGATTCAGATCACAGACCTGAAACAGGGAGGGGAGGAAAGCCCAGGATTTCCTCAGTCTCCACTGGCCATTCCCTTTGTCCTCCTGAGCTGGAAGGGGAGAGACTCTGGGGACTGTGGTGTAGCTTTTCAGAGCCAGGCTCATTGTACCTCATGTTAGCTGCCACTCCCCAAGGCTTTTTTCATCCCCCAAATGAGAAGATAAGATCTCCTTTGACCAGCTGTGAAGATCAAGTTTGCCAGTGTGTGTAAAGAACCCTGCTGCACTCTTAGCACAGGCAGATGTCCAACCAGAGGTGCTTGTTCTAAAGTGGAACCTTCAATTAGTATCTCCTGGGCCTGCAGATTGTGCCTCTGACATATCCAGGCCCAGGGAGTTAGTATGGCCTCCACATTTCCTCTGAGATTCATACCGCCTCTCTCTCTCTCTCTCTCTCTCTCTCTCTCTCTCTCTCTCTCTCTCTCTCCTCTCTCTCTCTGGCCAGGGTCCAGACTCTGGCGGTTTGGATACTCCCAGCTCCCCAGCTGCTTCTGACTCCCCAACTGCCCTCAGGGCTGGATGACTCACTCCAGGAGGGTTTTCCACTGAGGGTGTGTGTGTCCACCTTCACCTGTGTGTGCCTGTGAAAGGGATCATGTCGTCAGAGAAAGAGGAGACTTGGCCAGCTCTGTGAGATCGTATCATGGGAGAGGCTTGGGAGCATAAAGAACAGTGTATACTCAGGTTAAAAATGGCCCTTATCCAGATGGTGAGGGCAATAATCATTGTGTGTGTTTCCAAACCGATTGCAGTGGCTACAGACAGCCCAAGACATTAGGGAGTTAAGTCCTGTGCACAGTTGCCCTAGAAGCTGGCAAGGTCAGCTACCAGGACTGCACCAGGGAGGGTGTTATGTCCGCTGGGGAAGAGGAAGTTCAGGGTGAGTCAGGAGGCTCTTCTGCCCTAGGCTGTACGAAGCTTCTGAGTTGACTGAAGGATGGGTCTAGTCTACCCAGTTATTTATTGCTAACAGCGCTTGGGAGGGGACTATTCCCAGCTGTCTGAGAGGAGGCTCTTCCTTCAGAGTTAAGCAGTCCTTAAAGAAATCAATGGGAGAAGTCTGAGCTCTGCCACATGGGGCAAGTGGACAAGCTTTCTCCCCAAAACCCAGAGCCCAGAGGAATCAGGGTGGGGCCAATGGAAATCAGACAGTGGAACAAATTAACAGCCTCTAGTCTAGGGCTGTCTCTTTTTTCTGTTCTCAGTTGTGATGATTTCATAAATCCTTGTGCCAGAAACCTGTGAGCTAGCAATGATTGCCTGTGTCCCATCTCATCCAAGGGTATAGATGATGGAGCCTGGTGGCAGACAGCGTACCCCTCCTTCAGGCAGCAGGCCGAGACTTACCAACTGGAGGATGTCAACAAAAACAAACCTAGACTTAGGAGAGTTTCATTAGAGAGACGATTGCAGTAGCAAAATCATTCCAGCTCAGGAATTTGCAGCATCTTAAAATCAAACAGAAAAAAAAGCAAAGAATTTTCTTTTGTATGGCAAAGGAGAAGCAAACAGAGATAAGCAGAATCTTTGGAGGGGAAGCTAGACAAACATGGGAAAATGACCACTGGGGCCAGACAGGAAAAAGTGTTCAGCCAATTCCCAAGAGAGCTTTAAGCAGGAGGGGGCATGCTGTACCTTTTGTATGAAGGCTCAGACTTGGGGCAAGCAGAGTTCAGGGACCTGAAGGAAAGAGAGATACCTGGTGGAGTAAAGCAGAGGTTAAGCCACAGGCTACTATGGACGCTTGGTTAAAGACAAGAATAGATAGGAACAGAGGGTTAATATTGGTATAGATAATTTTTTAAAGGTAAAATCATTACTCTCATATAGATATAAGATGAACACTCTCATGTAGCTATAAAATGATATATATTTCATATAGATATAAAATGAACATTTAACACAATTAAATGAAGCAACTAGGCAGATGCTTTAACTGGTTCAAAGAAGTTAAAGAGGCACATATTTATATGGAGTAAAAGATATTGAAATGACTGTGCAAATAGACAAAAACTGGCTACTCCACAGGAGGGTAAAACAGTCTCTCCACTGGATAGAATTCATTTGCATAGCTATAGAAAAAAATGATTTTTCATTGCTACAGTTACCTATACCTCAGAGCTACAAAATAACTCAAAATCAGTGGGAGGCTGGAACCAGCTACCCTGGAAGGAGGTTCTAAACTAGAATTTCTGAGCCTCGGGATCAGTGACATTCCAGATCCTGGCATTCTTTTTTTTTAGAGTGGTCCTGAACATTGTCAGATGTTTAGCAGCATCCCAGACTTCTACTTAATAGAGGCCAAATGTCCCCTGGAGTGGAATGGAGGGCAGTTGAGAATCACTGCTCTCAACAATGCGTAGTTTTCCACTGAAACACAAATTTTTCTACCAGTATAGGAGATACATGTGAGGGTGTCTTGTGTGGAAGCTACAAATCAGATACTATCTCTCCAGCAGATTGTTACAGTGGCCACAGACACAGATACTTCTATTATCCTGAAGCTCCCCCAACATGAACTCCATTAATTCTCCCAGTACAATCTGTTTCAGATGAACAGACTATTGTTTTCGTATAGGTATGCCCTGTGCAATGTTTGGAAGATATACATACCCAAAACATATTTCTCATTTACTTGAAATTCAGATTCAGCAGGGAGTACTGGTATTTTGTTTGTCAGATCACACAACCCTACCTGTGATTAAATAGCTGACCAGTGATTACAATAGGCCTTGGTGGCTTAGAATCCCTGTTCTGCCTGTGACTAGTGCCACGCTGGGTCTAGTCATTTAGCCTCCAGGAGGCCCAGTATTCTCTGTAAACTGGGGGACAGCAGCAGCACCTTCTTCGCAGAATTGCTGGGAAATTAAACAAACCAATGTAAGCAGAGCTGGCAGAGCTGTTAAGACAAGTGGCCCCAAGTAGTGGTAGCTAGTTTCGTCTCTGACTTCGCTCCCCGGTCCTCTGCTGACTCACCAGTGTTTCCTGGAGAGTCATTGCTGGGGTTCGCCCAACTTTCCTCCCCGTGAAGTTGGAAGTTAACAGTCAGGTTTGGTTTCCAGCCCCAACCTTTGCACCCCTACGCGCTAGTGCCCAGTGCCCAAGGCCACGCCATCCCGGGAGCGGTCCGCAGG